GTTGAATAACAACATTATTCTGGAAATAAATGAGAATTTCATAACATCTGTACAAAATAATATATTTAACATTAAATTATAGTTTAAATTATTAATTCATATTCATTCTTTCAGTAAAAAAATTTCAGTCAAAATTTTTTTATTTTTTATCATTTTTTAAAGAAAGAAAAAGATTTAGATATATTAGAAATTATTCACAAAACTTTGTTTTCTTTACTCAAAATTAATTGGAAATAAACAATGAAATGGATACCTGTGGTGTTAATGTAAAGCGATAATTACAACCGGGTGGTATGATGATAAGATCACCTCGTTCAACATTTATTCGAATCCAATCTTCTTCTTTCATTTCAATGTCATAATATGCGCTTCCATTCAAAATGAGAAATATAGAATCAACATCTTTCGTTATCGGCTTGTATAATTGTTCCAACTGTGAAATAATTCTTTTTCATTCATAGAACTTTTGATGTTTCAAATATATTTTCAAAACTTTGATAAGTAACAGAGCTATTAAAGGACTTTTTGAACTTTTTCTTTTATTCGCTAATATTTCATTTGAATGTTTTGATAAATAATATCTTTCTTAGCATTGCATTTCTTCGCAAGCATAAAGATTAAGCTATTTTTATTTATTATTTATTGTTTATTATTATTGTAATGTTTTAATAGTAATAGGAATGACTTTTTGGGATATGTTTATTTTATTTCAAAAGTATAAAAATTTACCTTTTGTTCGAAATCTTTTATATTTTCATGGAGCGTAAAAATATCAGATGTATTCATCTTTCGTTCTGCTTTCACTCGTGATATGCGTTTTTTCATCGCATTAACATCATCAATATCAATCTTTGTGACAATTAATGTGACATATTTTTGAATTTGAAATAAATTCAATATTGCTATAGAAAATCCAAAAAGCTTTAATAGTTTTAATATAATTTATGATTTTAATCAAATGTCTTGATAGTAATTAATACCTTATATGAAACAATACCGGTGAGAGTTTGCAACTGAATCGGTGTGTATAATTTTGGTGGATAAATATGATGAGGAAGGCGACGATCGCCTAATGGATACTGTTCCATCTGCCAAACTTTCATCGTTTACTATTGTTATTGTTGTCGTTATTTGTTGATGTCGTAAAAAGGAAAAAAGAAAATGGTGAAAATGAATTTTTATTAAAGTCAATGTTTCCAACAATTATTGTGAAATCACTTCTTCGCAACGTTTGACAGTGTTGAAACATAGAATTCAGGTGTAATTGTTTTCTATTCTTGAAAATTTGCAAAGTAGAATAAAACAGTAAGCTATCACTGAGAAGGAAAAAGTATAAATAATAATTTTTACCCTCTCTTACCTTTCCTTCTTTATTGTTTCTAAATAATTACTTAAATTTATTAATTATACAATGAAATGGGATTGTATTTTCTTTTGAGCTGCAAAAAAAGTTATTTTATATTATCAAAATGGTAAAGAAATGAGTAAGATAAAAGATTGCCGAAATATGATTTGCACAAATTTTATGCAAATTCATTTTAGCTTTAAAATTTAACTACGAAAATGTGAATTGCCAATGTTAAGACAAACCTAAGAATGAAGCTACCAATGAAAAATACGTTTACAAAGATATTTGAAATAATATTTTTATGTTTGATCATTTCTAAAAAATTGTTTAATAATTATAGGATTAAAAAAATATAAATTTGCAAAAGTTTAATTTGGAAAGAAAGAGATTGGCATAAACTAATTAATTATCAATAATTCTGTTATTAATTAAGTGCAAGCAATCAGACCTAAAATGGTGGAAATATAATAAAATAAATGTAAATAGCAAACGATAGAAAAGTATTTAAATGTTCGATTCACAGAAAGAAACTTTCAAATTAATAACAAAATGAAAATTTTTTAGTTATTTAATTATGGGATGGAATAGTTCAGAAAAGAAATGAAATTCTGCGATAAATAAATGAAAATATTATTTGTGGAATGTTTTGCAATGAAAGATAGCAATCAAAGCAATGAAAAAGAAACATTGAAATTTTATAAATTTTCTTTTCAATCATTTTGTTGATTTAAAAACAAAAAATTTGTTTCCAAAAATAGCTAAATATAAAAAGAATAAAGTTGAGAAATTAAAATTTGTATTGAAAATTGTGTTAACATTAAAAGACATTCATGCGATCCTTTAATATACGAATAACAAAGAACCGGAATTCTCTAAAATATTTAATTTTNAAATAGCTAAATATAAAAAGAATAAAGTTGAGAAATTAAAATTTGTATTGAAAATTGTGTTAACATTAAAAGACATTCATGCGATCCTTTAATATACGAATAACAAAGAACCGGAATTCTCTAAAATATTTAATTTTTATAAATTTAGAGAAATAAAAGATTACAAAAAAGAAATGTAAGAGAAGAGAAGCTGTCCCGGCATCGGTAATTAACGAACGAACAATTAAATGTTACAGTAAAGGATTACAAAGTTATCAAATGTAAATTATTAATGTCTTTACCCTTCCTTTCCTCTTTTTTCAGCAAAAAAATTTGAAAATCGATCAGTTAAAATAAATAAATTGATCGTTTCAATTGTAAATTTTTTGAAAGAAATGAAATAGACATTATGTTTGATCAAATAATCAATTTTTAAAAAGTTTCATGAAATTAAAAAATTATTTTTATTACTGAAAATGTTTTTTCAATTGGGAAATTTGAAAATTTCAGGTAGGAAAAGGAAAAATAAAGTAAATTGTAATTAAGCATTCTTATCCTTACCTTACAGTAATAAATAATGCAATAAATTAGCAANATTATTTTTGTTACTGAAAATGTTTTTTCAATTGGGAAATTTGAAAATTTCAGGTAGGAAAAGGAAAAATAAAGTAAATTGTAATTAAGCATTCTTATCCTTACCTTACAGTAATAAATAATGCAATAAATTAGCAAATGAAATTATTAATTATAATTATCGACGACAATATTTTAATTATTTTTTTTCGCTCGCTTTTTTAGAAATATTGTAAAAATTACTTTTGTAAATAATTTTTACGACACTGTTTTACACAATTTTTTCAAATTAAAATTTTGCGATATTTTGTGAGCATTGATATTTTTTGATAATAAAAATGATCACAGTTACATAATAATGTACGATGGCATCTGATAAGAAGGATAATATCATTCGCATCTGATAAGAAGGACAATATTCGCGCCTGATATGAAGGCAATATCATTCACAATTAAAATAAAAGGGTGCAATAATTAGTGTTTGGAAATGTGCAAACATTTTTGTGCATAATTTTTTTAATTCAAAGTTTCTCAAAATTAATTATATATTTTTTTTTGAAAGAAGAAACTTTAGAAACATTTGTTAAAATAATATTCATATTCATATCATTCATCTCAATTATTATTCAATTTGTCATTTTCTATCATTTGTTGTAATAATATCATCTAATTTTTAATTATTATCCATTTCCTA